AGCTATTCATCATAATATTCAAGTTATTTTCCTTACTTACAGTCTTACCTTCCAGGAAACATATCTTCTGGAGCAAGTAGCAAGTGGCTATATTATTGTGTTTATTTTCAATACTGTTTAACATATGTAGAGAAAAATATCCTTGGTATCACTATTGCCTAACATAAAGACAAGAAATTATGTTGGTTTCAGTCTTCATTTCCAACTTTGCAATGCTGTATTTTTCTTTAGAATGGCAACATTTTGAGGCAAGTGATAATTATGATCAAGTTTCCCATTTGGTTTTCAAAATAATCTCTTGATTATTGATCTACAGTTAGTGTATAAAACCAAGATTGGGCTACTCACTTTACCTGAGTTTATGCCTTGTATACTAAATAAAGATATTTGGTAATTTAACAAATTAATAAATATTTGTTAAATGAACAAATATCTTGAGAACACTTTATATCTGTTGAATAGTTAGAAAAATTAAACAAATGCAAATCTCATGACAAGATTCGTAGAGAAAGAATAGACAAAATCTTTGGTATTTGGTTTTAAAAATGCCTTTCATAGAGTTGATTGACAATGTTTTGCTGGGTATTAATTTGTTTGTTTATAATGTGTGGCTGACTGTGATCTGATGATCATGAAAATGAAGTACAGGTGTTCTGAGTCATCTGGATTCTTTTAACATGCAGTTCTAATTCTGATTGGTAAAGAGCATAGAAAATATCACTCCTGTATTTACCACAAGAAAAAAGATCAACAAAACTAAAACTTAGAGCATTTTCTTGGAGCTTTGAGAGAACTGAGTTCACAGATAAACATTACAGCATGAAAACATGGAGAGAGAAAAATCTAAGGATTCATAGCCAACTTCTTCCGAACTACACCAGAAACTTTGGGAGCCATAATGTGTAATTTTAATGGAATTTTAACCAACTTAGAAATTTTTTTGACTTAGTAGGAAAAAAAATCCTTCCTAGTAGTTGTTATCTTAGGGCAAACCCTACAGTTTTATGAGTTTTACCTTTAGGTATTGTACAAAATTCTCACGGTAATGATTCACAAAAAATTCCCTCATGGTTCTGTTTTGAGGGTGGATGGGAGAGTTAGCATTATTAAAAGATAGAACAACTTCCATAGGAAGGCCTCCTATCTAGGGAAACAGACTCATCAGAGCTTTTTTATAGCAAAGCTAAAAAAAAGAAAGAAAAGAAGAAAAAGCCCTCTATTTGTCTGTTCTGACCTTTCTGTCTCACTTAAGCAGGAGGAAACAACACAGCAATGACAACAAAGAGCCTAAGAATAGAAGCCCACACAAAGACAGATGTAATTATAAAATCATAGAAGGCAACCTTGTGCCACACTTTAGCATGCAATGGTACTCCTGGGTCCTAACAGTGGTTCACAGCTGAAGAGCTGCAAGATGCAAATCCTTGGAGGAGGAGGACTTGGGAAAGTCTAAAGTCAACAGCAGAGACAGAACAATGCAGCCTCAACCAAGTATTAAACATGAAGTATGCTTCTAAGACAAACACAGCTTCACACTAAAGCTAATTTACTTCCAATTCTGTTACTGGATAAAATACATTTTCAACAAAATCTTATAAGACCTGCTAAAGGCTAACATATATCCTCTCTCTCTCTGTCTCTCTGTCTCTCTGTCTCTCTGTCTCTGTCTCTCTGTCTCTGTCTCTCTCTCTTTGTGTGTGTGTGTGTGTGTGTGTGTGTGTGTGTGTGTTGTGTGTGTGTGTGTGTGTCTGTGACTGTGTCTGTGTCTGTGTTGTTTGTGAAGACACATTTTAAGAATCAAAGTCAGAATCAGATGTGACAGGATCTTAATTCAACTGTAAATAATGTCTTATGGGATGTAATGGGGAAAGTAGACAGTATATAAGGAGAACTGATAATTCAAACATAGGGAAAATGTCTTACACACACACACACACACACACACACACACACACACACACACACACACACACAAAAGGAAAATACAAAAAGTCAAGTCCATGGTGATAGAAGTGATCATAGCAAATGCTTCTAATAGGCTTGTCAGTACACTTGACATAGTTGAAAAAGGGACCAGTAATCTTGAAAACACATCAGTTGAAACTCTCTAAACTGAAAAGCAACGAGGTAGAGAAATTAAGTAAAAAGCAATAACTGTTTGGGACAGTAAAAATGTAACATACGTGTAACAGAACATTTGAAAGAGAAAAAATAGAGCAGAAATCATATTTTGATTAACAAATCAAGGCAGACACTAAATCACAGATTCAGTAAGCTTGAAAACAGCAGGCAGAAAATTATGAATAAAGCAAAATAGAATGTGATTCTTAAAAATATTGTATGCAAAATAAATAGCAAAGACTAAGAAAAAATATTAAATTAAGCCAGAAGAGACCCAAACATATTACCTACAAAGAAGCAAGAGCAAGAATTACATGAGACATTTTTTTTGGAGCCATGCAAGCAAGAAAATTATAGAATAAAATATTTAAAAGTTTAAAAAAACATAATACTTTTCCCAGTATATCTATCTTCCAAATTATGAGAAGTAAAAGTTTCATCAGTCAAACAAACATTAAGAACTTTGCCAACATAAACATGCTCAGAAGAAGTGAAAAAATATTTTTTTCATTAGGGCATGGTGATATATTTAATCCTAGCACTCATGAGGTAGAAGGAGGTGGATCTTTGTGAGTTTAAGGCCAGCCTGGTCTACATATGGGGTTCCAGACAGCCATAACTACATAGTGAGACCCTTTCTCATGTATTGATAGTAATTGTTATTATATCATATAATAAACATATAATTAACATATTATTTCTTCAGAGAAAAGATGCATGAAAGGTAAGAACTTTGAATCTGCATAAAATAGTTTTAGAGAAGAAATAGATAAACTAACAGTTTATTTTTTATTATGACTTAATAGATAACAGTTAGTTAAAAACAATAATGACTATTATATACTAGGTAACTGGAACTACGTATATTGAAGTGAATGATAAGCTTACTGTTATGGACAGAGGAGAGCATATGTTTTTACTTTTTAATGATCTAGATCATGAGGCAGTCTACAAATACAAAAGAATCTTCTGGATTTTTCAAATAACATCTAAAAAGAAAATCTATAATTAATACTATACTTATAAGTGAGAATTAGGTGTCTTCTAATATGGGGAGCAAACCATAGATTTTCTATCTTACCATTCCTTATTTAGTTGAAGAACTCTTTTTTGCTAAGAAATAAGTCATGAGACAATCTTTTTATGTAGGCCACCCTTGCTATGTAGTTCAAGCTTGTCTTTAACTCATGACCCTGAGTGGCAAGGTTATATGTATGTACCAACATAAGGCAGAAAACCCAGATACAGGAACTGAAGCAGAGACCATTGAGGAATATTACTTACTGTACTGCTCTCCATGGCTTGCCTAGCCTGCTTTCTAACACATCCTAGGACTACATTACCAGGTGTGGCACCATGCACTGTGGCCTGGCATCTCCTTCTCACATCAATCATCAATCAAGAAACTGCCTCACAGGCCAGTCTTGTGGAGGCATCTTTCCAATTGAGATTCCCTCTTCCCAAATGACTGATGTGTGTCAAGTTGCCAAAACATTGGCTAATACAACAAGAATAAGAAAGCGATACTAAAGTATAAATCTTACAAAATATGTACAGAATCAGTATATTGAAAAATCACCAAAAATGACATAAAAAAGAAAAATGTTAATAAAGAATTATTTCCTTCTTATACTAGAAGACTCATTACTGAGTTCTTTTCACTTGATCTATAGATTTAACACATAATCAAAATCATAAAAAACTATGTTATAGTTACCAGTAAACTGATTCTAAAGTTCATATAAAAAGAAAAAAATCAATAATTGACAACATAGCCCTGCAGAGAAGGAATAAAGTTGAAGAACTCACACTGTCTCATTTTATTTACAAACATAAAAGTGCAATAATCATAATGGCAATACCAAAAATGAATGATATCAACTTGTAGATCTTTGAAACAAAGTAAAGGCCTTGAATATATGCAGAAATAAAGTTAATTTTTTTAAAAAGGACCAAAGTAATTCAGTGGAGAAAATATAAGCTTCCAACAATTTTATTAGAATAATTGGACATCAGTGTACAAAAAAATTAACCTAAATAGGAACAAAAGAAAGACAGAGCACCCCCAAATAATCCTGATTAAAGAAATTTAAAAACACAAACTTACAACTTCCTATCTTACCACAAAATTACAATAATCAAGAAGAAGGATAGACAGAGATTAATCAGTAGACCAGAGGTTAAAAAGATAAACCAATTGTTTATGGTTATTTGACTTTCAGCAAGGGTGTCAAGACCATTTCACAGAGAAAATGGTTTGTTAAGCAATTAATTATGGAACAATTTTATGCAAACAATAAATATGGGAGTGCTATACAGCTATATAATACTAATACAAAAAGTAATATAGTTTAATGCTATAAAGATTTAAAATTATAAAAGTAGTAGAAGAAAATATAGATTTAACTTTATTGAATATGGAAATAATTTCTTTGATATAGAGTCCAAAGCACAAAATAAAAAAGAAAATTTTTATTTTGTTAAAATTTAAAACTCTTATATTCAAAAACCAGTGTCAAGAACATGAAATAATAATACAAAATGAAAGACTTTACAAATTACATAGTTGAAAAAGGTCTCTCTTTAGAATTTAGTAATACAACTCAATAATAGACAACTCAAATAGAAATCTGAGTAGACACTTCCCCAAAGAAGACACACACATGTTCATTAAGAACATGGAAAGAGCCGGGCGGTGGTGGCGCACGCCTTTAATCCCAGCACTCGGGAGGCAGAGCCAGGTGGATCTCTGTGAGTTCGAGGCCAGCCTGGGCTACCAAGTGAGTTCCAGGAAAGGCGCAAAGCTACACAGAGAAACCCTGTCTCGAAAAACCAAAAAAAAAAAAAAAAAAAAAAAAAAAAAGAACATGGAAAGAGACTAAGCCATTGCCATACCAGAAATACAAAGTAAAAGCAAAATATGATACTATTTCAAGCTCAGCCTGATGGGTAGTGTTCCCAGGGGCCTCCCGAACAATAGAAGAGACTGTCATTTTTCTAAATGACATGCCAGAACTTACTGTGGAAAACATCATATACTTTGGTTATAGGACAAAAAGAAAACAGGTGGCAGTGAGCTGTGACCTTCCTTTCTAATGGTTAGCTTTCAGAGTGTTAGAGTATGTCATGCAGGCTCCTGGGAAAGGAGAGTCATCAACAATGTTACAGAGCTGCCAAACCTGAGGGCAAAAATAACAATCTTCCAGGAAAAAGGTGTACTCTGATATAATAGTGGCATGGTTGTTTGTGGGATAACCAACTGGTTTCTAATTGTATTTGAGGCCCACTCCACAAGAGAAAACTTATGTCTGCTTCAGTCAACTTGGTCAAGAGCCCTTGGCTGGGGAGGCCATAGCCCCAAAGAAGAACCTATCACTACTATTTCGCTAAATAAACATGTTGTCAAAGCGTTTTTTAAATATTGATGCTTATATCTATAGGTTAGTACTCTATTCTGCCTTCACCATAGAAATTTCTTATTGTAGCAGGAAATGGTTAATGCAGAAACCCATTGCTGGTCCAAGTGCTGACATCTATCTTGTTCCCTCCAAGGTCCAGTGAATGTCTCAGAAAGAGGGAACAGAAAAACTTACAGAGCTAAAGGATGGAGAAATGTGCAACCAAACGATGTTTTTCCGGACACAGGGTCACTGTGGCATTCATGACTTCACTGAAGTTCAGATTATCTACACAAGATGTACACACAGTTAATTATGTCAAGATTTGGTGGGGGAGGGAACCCCACACCTCTCAGAATGTCTCTTGACAGTTAATGGCTACTGAGGTATGCAGTGCCATTTTATATAGTGCAGACTCTGATGGAATGCTCATGGTCTTGTAAATAACCTCTCACCTATGCTGTGAAAACAACCCTAATTAAACCATTGGGTTACCCATAAACATGAGACAAAGTTGAAGTGGAGCTTGTTGGAAAGAAGAATTTCTGTAGGGGAAAGAAGGAGATATAAGACAGGAATGAGGAGTACAAATAACTAAAAAATATTATAAATGTATAAATTTATCAAAGAATAAGGAAAGCAAAGATATAATATTGTAATGCCTGAAAGAAAAGAAATTAATAGAGTTTGACAAAAATCAAGCATTTCTGATATGTGAAAGACATTTGTAAGACAGTAAAGATGCTCATAGAGACTATATATGTAAAGGAATGTCTAATAAAATCATCTAGAGATACTAGATAAGCACATTAAATTATTGGCACATAATTTAAGATTCAAGAAAAATAACAATGAAGTTGAAGGTGGTGGCACATGAATAAAATTCTAGCATTTGAGAGGCTGGGACAAAGGTCTCCTGGCTTTGGGAACAGCCTGTCTACAGAGGGAGTCAATGGCTCATAACAACAAAAACAAAAAAGCAAACAAAAACAATGAGATTACCATTATAACTCACATGGGATTACTGCAAAACCACTGTGAACAAGCTGGCAGAGCGTCAAATACGTGTACTTAGAGATAAGGAGATGATTTGTTTAGTAAAGGGCTTGTTATAAAAGTTCAAGAGTCTGGGTTCAGATCTTTAACACCATCAGTGTCTCAGTGTGCATCTGTAATCTCAGACCTGCGAAGGCAAAGAAGAAGGATCTCTGGGCACAGCTAACTGGGTAGCCAGTCTAACTGAATCAATGAGTTCCAGGTTCTGTGAGAGGCCCTGTATCAAAAAGTAAGATGAAAAGCAATTGAGATAGGAAATGTCAACAAGCACACAAAGAGTAGAAAAGAGGGAGAAAGAGAGAGAGAAACCTTGTTCATGCCTAGTAGGGATAAAATTTGGAAGGTGCATGAGTAGTTTGTAATTAGACAATGCTATAATTATAGATATCTATCCATCTGATTTAAAAGCCTATGTTCAAATAAAACCAACTTCTGGAATAAGGTGCCACTATGCATGTTATACATTATTCTCCTGAATGGAGGCAGCTAATATGTCTATTTTTCAGTAGGTGAATGCATAAACAAACAATGGCATCCCTACACTGGAATATTATTCAGTGACAAAAGAAAATGTAACTATCAATCTAAGCAAAGGCATGAACTTATCTCAAATGCAAATTGCTCATTGAAAGAAGACCATTTTAAGCATGTATTTTGTGATTCAAATTAGGTAGCATACTAGAAAAAGAAAATTACAGTAATGGAAAAATAATCAGTGTTTACTAGACTTGAATTGAGATATGGGCAGGAGAAACAATTATTTTTTAAGACAAGGTCTCACGAAGTAGCTCAGGCAATCCTTAAACTCATGATCTTCTTGCCTCAGTCTCCTGAGTACTAGGATTACAGGACTGCACCAACATTTCTGACTAGGCACAGAAATTTGTTTAGGTTAGTGAATCTATTCTTTGTTATAAAGCAGTGAGGAGGACTGATAATTTTCGTTAAACCTCAAAAGACTTTAGAGAACAAAGTGAAGCTTAGGGTATGCAAATTTAATTCAAAGCACTAAGGAGGTTTAAGGATTCCCAGGGTGGAATGCAAAATGTAACAACACGTTCCAACTTTATAACAAACATGAAACAACTTCACTGAAGGGATTGTTGGAGAGGTAGATGCTTACCTAAGTACTTTTGAAAATTAGTAGAGTCTGTAAGACTAAAGGCAAATGGAACTGCACATAAGCTCTGCACTCTGGTAAATGAAATTATTTTCCACGAGGGTACAGCTTAAGAGTGCTAATATTACTGCACATGTTCTCAAGTGGACAATTAGGTAGATTGATGATAGAGAATGGGAGCTAGGTCTCTCTGTCGCAGTACAGAGTTTCTAACCAACAAGGGAGGGTAGGTAATTCGTGCTAATGGACTGGATCTGGAGACATCAATATGAACTCATATTTAGCTTAATGAAGATGTGGATGGCTACATATAAAAATATTTATAGGTGTGTGTATATGCATGGCATCTTATATAGATGTGCATTTCCTCTCTGTTAGTGAAGAGGACCTAGAAGCAGTAATATTCCAATATCTATAAGCATATCTGCAGCTAGGTCTTGGTTTCTCTTGTAATTTTATTTCAAAAGGAACTAGAGATTCTTGGATAAAGCACTGCTTCAAGGTCTGGGGTACAGTGATCCTGGAAACCTAACGGCAGGGAAATATGGAATTATGCCAACCAATAAACCAACCAGTCCAAAGTGATTAGGTTCTGCTAAAGACACAAAAGAGTAAATTGAAATATCCACTAAGGCTGGATCTGAAACAGTATAAGAAACAAGGTAAGTATTAAGTAAAACTTGAAGTGGAATGCAATCCCAAGTTCAAAATCCAGGAGTGTGTACTGTCACAATAAATGATTAAATAAATAGGTAAATATGGACACTGTTTTACCTGTCTCATGCAGAAGATTCCTAAGTAATCCACGTAGTTGCTGGCTTCCAAACAGTGAAATACAGTTCTCTTTCCTTTTCTCTGGGCTGCACAGTGACTGCCATCTCCTTCCTTATCTCTGGTTGCATATGGTGACTTGTACTCAAGAGTGGATTAAGAAAAGGGAGAAAAAACAAAACAAAACAAAACTCATTCCCCAGTGACACATCTGCAAAAGCCACCTCTAAGAGATGACCAAGATATTGTCATCATAAACAGCATGTTAAATACTTACAGTTTGGAAATAATGGGATGTGAATGGTACTTCCTCTCAAATATCCACAACCTCAATTTAATCAAAAGAACATCTGATAAACTTAGTGCAGAACCATTTATAAAATACCTGATGTGGATCTTCCAAATTGCCAAGGTCATCAAGATGACCAAGGAATTGCCCTACTTTCGTTTCTGTTGCCATAATAAACACTGACTGACCACACTGACCCAAAACAAGACTTTACACTTCCACATTACCATCCATCATCAAGGAAAATCAAGAAAGACTCAGGCTGGAACCTGATGAGGAACTAATGCAGAGGATATGGAGAGTGCTGTTGATGGGCTTGATCTCTCTATGGCTTGCTCATACTGCTTTCTTATACATCCCAGGACCACCAGTCCAAGAATGACACCACCCACAGGGGACTGGTCCATTATACATAAATCAGTAATCAAGAAAATGTTCCACACACTTGCCTACATCCAATCTGATGGAGGTATTTTCCTGACTGAAGTTCCCTCTTCCCAGATGACCCTGGTTTGTATCAAGTTAAAAAAAAATCTAACCAGCATAGAAACTGTCACTTCACTAAAAGGAACATAAGGAAATGTGACCACTGAATGTAAATTGAATAGGATTCTAGAACAAAATATGACATTATGTTGAAAAGCAAATCCTTGAAGAAAATTATTAAATTGTGATTAACAATATATCGATGTTGGTTAATTATTCACAACAAGTATATCATACTAATTCAAGCTGTAAATGGTATTGGAAAGTGTGGGTGGGAGGTATGGAAATTTTTAAATTTTCTTAAATTTTTCTTAAATCTACAACTACACTAGCAATATTTACTTTAGACACACTGATCTTTTAGTTATTTTTGTGGTGACCATAGACTGTAGACACACTTATGTAGTTATGAAGTCAAAGAAAGATTTTGTCTGAGACAGCTGAGAAAATTTCTGACTTTGAACCACTTTGCATAGTTCTTTTAGAAACTGTTGGCCACCAGGTGACACAGGATGGCATCAACTGAGTATACTCATATGTTTTCTTACTTGTCATTTATTTAGAGGAAAATGTGAAGACTTGGTAACAGAACACGTCTTCTCAATTCTTCAGTATGTGGTTTTCACTTAAGAGGTAGGATGAACTTCAGATCACCTTGGAACACTGCTATCTGCCTCACTTAGAGTGCCTGTCTATTAATGCTGACATTTTCCTTTGAAACTCCATTTTCTTGCTTCAGGCAATAGGCTACTGAAAAAAAAAGTCAAAAAAGGCAGCTTGAAATTTATGACCTTATTGTACTTATGAAATTACAAAAAGGAGCCAGCCTTGTCCGGGCTAGCCACAGACGAGTGTAGCTATAACTAAAATTTACAGGTTGCATAAAAATAATCACATCAGCGGAGTGCCGTAAATTCCAGCTGCCCAGTCACCCCAGAAAATTCCTAATGGTTCATCATGCCCTGAAGTTTAAATGGTTGTTCTTAAGAAGCAAAGGTAAGTGACAGGTTAGATACATAAGCCAACTGTGATACCATTTCATTTCTTGAATTTAGAATGGATAGATGGGAAGAATAACCTATTTAGGATAATTGAGTAGATATCTGTGGGGAGCTTTAAGCTAGCTTCTAGTATAGGCTAACCTAGTACAAGGCCATAAGAACACTGAGATAGAAAAGCACAGCTGTAGCATCAGAGACATGACTTTTTCATGTGCCCACAATCTGATCACATGAGGCAACTCACTGCAATGAATCTGCTGAGGGATGGAATCCCTGTGCTGAGTAAGCCAAATAAATGTCTTGAAAAAATTTTTAATTTTATGCAAAGGAGATTGAAGGCTACTGAATAATTGTAAATTATATGATTTTTTAAACTTAGAAATATTATTATGGTTATAGTATAAAAACAACAAGAAGACTGTTACCCAGGTGAAAGATGGATAAAGTTCAATTAAGACAGTCATAATAAAAATGGAAAAGAGAGAGTATCATTCTATTAATTAGTCTCCAGTGAGAAAGAAGAATGAAAAATCATTCCATTGACTGGCTGGGGCACTAGGATAAAGTTGATGCCTTCATTCAGACAGTGATGAAGGAGTAGCAGGATCTTAAGACAAATTGTCTAGAAATAGACTTTTAAGTGGAGCTCTGTCTGTAGGAGTTTTATATAAGTGCTCTTGGGAAAGTAATGAAGGAGGTACTGGGTAAAGAGAAGGTCAGACCCTGTTGTGGTTGTGACTGAGGCTTGCCTCAGCTGGCCATATGGGAGCTACAAAGCTAGAAGGAGCCATTTGGAATGATTTAAATTTGAGACAAGCATATGGGATGTCTATATTCCCTCATCAGCCTATGCCGTTGCCCCCAGGGTACTGCCTGGAGAAAGGCTAGTCTCTGAACAAATGAGTTCCTTGTAGTCTGGGACAATTCCCAGTAGGTTATACCACTGCCTATGTCTCCAGCAGGATGAGATCTGGGATGGCCAGAGAGTAAGTTTGAAAAGTATACTAAAGTATCTACTACAGAGTTATATTTTGGGTGCCATTATGAGTTACAAGACTCATTAATTTGTGTCAGTAGAAAAAAATTCCTAATGCAAGAAAAATATCACGACATGTAATTACCAGTCTTGAACCTATCCCAGTTGAAGAGATGTCTAACTTAGCCTAGTTGTCCTCTTAAGAGCCTGAGGACAATTGAAATGAAAGCAGCCTCAGTAATACCACCATCCTTCCAGATCCTGTGGTGGGCTCATAAATGAGATACCCAAGTACAGATATCCTGAGAGCAGCCAACTACTGCTAAAAGCACTGCTGGAGCTTGGAAGACAGACCTTAGCAGAAAACCACATAAGCTGATGTGGTCATCACTCTTAAGCCATAACTGGGCCAAGGAGGACAGACATTTTCTAGGAGACTTTGGAAAGTAAGGATGAGAAACAGGCCTAAGGATCAAAGAAAGCAGCGTCTGTCACAACTGACTTTCTCACATTTAAAATTGTTCTATTAGACCACTGGTAATGTTTCTGTTTTACATGTGATTTTTTCATTAATAAAAGACTTTTTTAAATGCTACAAGAGGGCCAATGTTAAAAAGAAGATTTAAGAATCTCATAGGGAGAGCAAGACAATGATAATGGTTCAATGAAGGTCCAAAGAAATAGTAGTGGTTAGCATATCTGTAGGTACCCATTCTCAGCATGTCTGGTGTGGTAATAGAGACACCTCAATTGTCTGGAAGCTCCCAGTTAAGCCACTTACTTATTATCTTCTAAGGGTAATGTAAAATCACAGAGATATTTAAGATTAGCCCAACTACCACATGAGACAACAGAAGACTCTAAGGACAAAATCTGTGAGCAGAGTTTAGAACTTCTGGTAAGAAAAGTTTATGCTAATACTGAAAAAAAGTATGGGTGAGCCAAAAAGGAAGATCACCAACACAGACAGGTCAGAGCTGTATAGAAGGGTGTGAGGGGAACTGTTGGTGTCCAAGAACATCAAAGCGAAAATACAAAACTGTAAGGGAAGGAAATGAGGGACGGGGACACAGGCAGTTTCATTTTCAGACTATTACTAAAACAGTCTTAAATCCATGAAGCAAACACATTTATCAAGGATGAGTGAATGATGAAATGGATAAGCATCCATTCACACTTACACACACACACACACACACACACACACGTGCACACACACACACACACACACGCACACATGCCATCAAAAGAGTGGGTGCTGGTGGCTTGATTTCTGAAAACACAGTGTGAGACTTGAGGGTAGCTGCTTTATTTAGGAAGTGATACACGAAACAATAAATAGGCCAAAAAACTCGAAAACTAGAACAAAACAAATATTCTGTGCACATTAGCAAGGTCACAACACTTAGCCAAAGACCTCTCAAAGGCTCAGGGAAATACTCAGGGAGTATTCACCAGTATATCTAACAGTGGGACCTGGTGAAGAGATGTTGTCTAAAGGCATTTATCATTTCCATTCTGGCTTGACACTACTGAGTTCAAAGACGGGCCTGGAAAAAAAGACAAGAAGGTATTCACATTCCATATTGACGATTAACTATGATTTATGTAATGAGAGTTATAAGGTCATATTCCAGGTCTGGGAGTCCCACAGGACTAGACTCAATAGTCTGTCCTTTTGCAGAGATGATTAATAGTTAAAAACAGAGGAAGTTGATCCAATCAATGTGCTTTGAGAATACAAATAGTTAGGAGTCCAGTGTTTCCGAGTTTGCTTCCAGGCTCCTGACATGGGCTTTAGGTCTAGATAGATTGCCTGTTGAGTTGAGGAAGAAGTAGAAAAGGGAAGGGAAATGCATAATTAAAGAGTCCTGGTCATAGTATGATCTGGTTATAGAGATATCTGTCTCCATGTAGAAAATATGTCTATCATCATTATACTTGAAATGAGGGAGAGAATCAGGTACTTGATGAAAAATACTGGAAGGAACACACCACAGGTGATAAGGTCTCAGGTCTTAGGTTTTGTTTTTTGAGATTGTGACATCTCATTTCCAAGTCCAGAGTGCTAATGCAAAGTAGCAGTTAGCAGCAGTTGCAGGGTGAGGATTAGCAGTCCAGAGGCTGCAAACCCTCTATTATCTTCATGCAAATAGAAGCTCAGTAAACACTTCCTTGTTCTTCCAAATTAACTGGCCAAGCTAAACCTTTGTAAGCAGCAGTACAAAAGGTAAACTTCAGCTTGGTTCCTGCCAAAATCATCACAAATCCTGAATTAGTCAGATGTGAATTAATGAGCTTTTAGCGGGACTTGGGTTTTGTCAGACATATTGATCCTGGAGTGCAACAGCCCATTAAAGGCTATAATTAAGATGCAGTTTCTATTTGAAGATGAAGTGCCTGGGCAGGGACAAATTGTGAGATGCTCCTGTCTGTGAGGCTGACAGGCAATCAGGGGATGAACTTGTATGCAGAGTTCCTCTTGATTTCCTCATGACAGGAAATGACAGCCAAGATTCAAATGAAACAAATGGTGGTTATACAATTATTTAGACACTAAGAGCAAGAAGAGCTTTGCATCACAAATTACTGGTAGAAAGTGAGTTTTCCTATCAAGCCAAAAATAAATAAATAAATAAAAAGATCTGTGTTAAACTCAACCTTCCTTTTACTTGTATGCTTTCTACCAATACTGAGAGGCAGTTGCTTAAGTCAGACCCCTCTGGTTGAAGAATTGCATTTATAAGAAAAAAAAAACAAATCATTCACAAGTATTTGGAGTGCCAGGATAACTTAGGCTGGGCAGTGGCTTTTGAGGTGGTAGGCTACAGGGGCAGTCTAGAAGTGGACTTTGCAGAATTAGAGTGAGAGCTGCATTTTGGGTAGCAGACTGTCAGTGGGAGAAGCAAGAGAGAGTAGACACCACTCCACTTTCATTTGGATGGATTAAGGAGTCTCCTACTTGACTTCACCATATCTGGCACAGACTGGTGAATTTCATTCTGATTTTTGAGGAACATGAAGCGTTCTCAGGACCTAGTGAGAGGAACATGAAATGAGGACAGATTCCAAACCACAGAACAATGGCCTGGCCCCAGAACATGGAGCAAGTGAGATCTTCTGAAATTTGAATTTGGAAAAAGAAAACATACAAAACTATCTCTGTATTGAGGAGAAGGAAGTGAAGAGGTTCAAAGGAGCTTCAGATTGGACAGCATCCCTTTTTCTCTCTTACTGTGTTGAGGCCATGCTACATAAGCTCCTTGGGATAAGATGAACTGGTTTTATTTCTACTTTAAGTGTGAGAAAATGGAATCTTAATGTGTGGCTTAGTTAGGATTTCTATTGCTGCAATGAAACACCATGACCAAAAAAGCAAGTTGAGAAGGAAAGGATTTATTTGGCTTATATTTCCACGTTGTTGTTTATCATTGAAAGAATCAGGGCAGGAACTCAAACAGGTCAGGATCATGGAGGCAGGAGCTGATGTAGAGACCATAGAGGAAAGCTGCTTACTGGCTTGCTCCCCATGGCTTGCTCAGCCAGCTTTCTTATAGAACCCAGGTCCACTAGCCCAGGGATGACACTACCACAATGGGTTAGACCCTCCTCCATTGATCACTAATTGAGAAAATGACTTATAGTTGGTACTCATGGAGGCATTTCCTCAAGTGAGGCTCCTTCCTCTCTTCCTTGACTCTAGGTTGTATCAAGTTGACACATAACTAGTCAGTACAATGTGGGTATCTGATCAATGTTCACAATGAAGAAAA